GGAGGGTGAGCTGGGATGGGATAGGATGTGATGTGAAGGGCTATGGGGTGTGGGGTGGATGGGAGGAGGTGAAGTGGGATGGGATGTGTGGGGATGGGAGGGAGTGGGGTGGGGAGAGATGGGATGCATAGATAGGGATGTGGGGTGGGGTAAGGTGGGATGCAATGGGGTAGGATATGTGGGGATGGGCTGGGGTGGGTCTGAGGGGCCGGGGGTCTCATAGTGGGGCCGCCCCCAACCTTTCACCCCCAACCTTTCTCCCCCCAGCCTGGCCCAGCACGTCACCTATGTGCACCAGCACAGCCGGCAGCCGCCCTGCGCCTTCCAGCAGCTCGACATGAAGCTCATCAGGTGGGGTCTCCAGCCCCCAATGGCCCCCAAAGCCCCCACAGACCCCCGCAGTCTCCCTGGATGCCCCAATGTCCCCTTTTGGTGTCCTCCCCCCCTACTGTCCCCAGAGGTTCTCATTGTCCCCTTTGATCCCCATTAGCCCCCATTGCACCCCCCTGGTGCCCCCATTATTCCCCCCAATGCCTTCACTGTCCTCTGTCCATAGCCCCATTGCCCCCCATTGTGCCCCCACTGCCCCCCACTGCCCCACGATATCCCCGTTGTGCTCTCATTATCCCCCACGCCCCCATTATCCCCCTTTGGTGCCCCCATTGCCCCTTATTGCCTCCCATTGCCCTCTTTGATGCCCCTCAATGTGCCCCCATCGCCCATGAGTTGCCCCCGGCCCCCATGAATTCCGCCTTAATCCCGCAGGCGGTACATCGCCACCTGCAAGCAGAAGCAGCCCGTGGTGCCCCCAGCTCTGTGCGATTACATCACGGCTGCCTACGTGGAGATGCGGAAGGAGGCGCAGGCGGCGGCCGATGGCACGGCGTACACCTCTGCCAGGACCCTGCTGGCACTGCTGCGCATGGCCACGGCTCTGGTGGGCGGCGGGGGGCGTGGGGAGGGTGGGGGCGTTGGGTGGTGATGGTGGTGGCGATGATGGTGGCGTTGGATGGCGTTTTGGGTGGCATTGAGTCGTGATGGTGACATTGGATGGCGTTTTGGGTGGCATTGGGTGACATTGGATGGTGATGGTGGTGATGGTGGCATTGACTGGCATTGGATGGCACTTAGGGTGACATTGGATGGCATTCTGGGTGATGGTGGTGATGATGGTGGTGACGTTGGGTGGCATTAGATAGCACTGGCTGGCACGGATGATGGTGATGATGATGGTGATGATGATGGTGATGATGATGGTGATGGTGGTGGTGATGGTGACGATGGTGGCGGTGTCACGGCGCAGGCGCGGCTGCGGTTGGTGGACGTGGTGGAGAAGGAGGACGTGAACGAGGCCATGAGGCTGATGGAGGCGTCCCGGGATTCCCTGCAGGGCCACAAAGGGCAGCAGGGCCGGTGAGTGGGGGGGGGAGGGTGGTCCTTATGGGGTCTGGGGGGTCACCACCATTGGGGTCTCCCTATGGGGTCAGGTAGGGCAGGGAGATGCCATCACTGGGGGTTGTCCCCATGGGACTTGGGGTGATGCCTCCATTGGGGTGTCCCCATGATGTCCGTGCAGATGCCACCCCTGTCGGGGTGTCCCTATGGGATCTGGGGGAGGTCACACCACCCTTGGGCTCCCCATGATGTCTATGGAGATGCCTCCTCTGGAGCGTCCCTTTGGGGTCTGGGGAGGGGTCCCCACCATTGGGGATGTCCCCATGGTGTCCCCATGATGTCCATGGAGATGCCACCACCATTGTGTTGTCTGTGTGGGATTTGGGGAGGGGTCCCTATGGGGTCTGGGGGGGGTCACCACCATCGGAGTGTCCCTTCGGGGTCAGGGAGATGCCCCCATTGCTTTTGTCCCCATGACACCCATTGTGTTTTCCCCATTGGATT